ATTAGTAGCATATTTTTATTTTCTATATAAATATTATTGTACTACTAAAATCATATGACAAATGATCTACATACCCCCTACCTTTAAAGTTACATGTTTAACTTTCACGTCGTCAGTGTCAAAGTCAGTGTCAATGTCATTTGCCATTTTTGGAAATAGGCTTGCTTACTACGTATACGTAGTGTCTATAGTGGCGGCGTATGTAGAATGTTATGTTTCATATATCGATATTATAGATTCTCTATTTCATGTTCCAAGGCTTGTTTGATTTGTTTGATAAAATGTTGGTTATTTTTTTCAGAGTTTTGATAATTAAGAGTGAATTCTTCAAAATGATCTTCAATTATTTCAATAGTTTCTTGAATCTTTGGTTCCTCAACAATAGGTTCAAATGTTGAAGAATTACATTCCATTCATTATTATTGATAAATTCATCAAATAAAGTATTATATTCAGATAGAGCTTCTGCTGGTTGTTGAATAATATTATCGACGTGAAAAATTATAGATTTTTATACCCATTGCAAAAATTTGCAATCCGAAATCGTTATCATTTATAGTGAGCTAGAAAATAAAGATTACAGAAGAATCTAAATAGTGTAATACTGATCGTAATAATTATAACTGAACACGAAAAATCCTAATTTACCGTTTATTAATAATATTATACATGAAAGAAATGGTTTTAGAGTACACAATCAGCCATACACGCGATCGTCCATACCCTCGCCTCAGTTGAAACTCCCATAAATAATGCTCTATATACAATCTTATTCATTATTTCTATATCATTTCCGTCACTGCTAACCACCATCTCAAACAACATTCTGATAATTTGTTTATAAACTCTGATTAAATTAGAATCAAGTACGTATAGTCCTTCTAAATGATCTGCTAGTGAAGGATATAAATTATGAACTATATTTATGGGGAGGCTTGGTGATTCATCGATGTTAAGTTTGGATTTGAGATGTATTTCACATTTTTCAAGTAATGATAAAATACACGATATATGATACGATGTGAAAATCCGGTTAGGAGTCGATGAAATTAACATAAGGTAGTGAAAAGTTCTAATAATCGTGTTAAGGTAATTAAGTGTCCACAAAGTTGTCTCTTCTTTCACTATATATGGGTCTAATAAAAATAAGGTGTTAGCATTAAAATCCTTAAATTTAACATGCATTTATTATCTAAAAAGTTATGAATGAAAACCTACCGAAGAATTTTAACACACTAGTCACAATCATTATGGCTTGATCTATATGAACTCCTTTTGACCATTGCAATGTCGAATTCTTACAACCCTGTAATACCCGAAGTAGTATTCGTATTCCAAAAAATGTTGGTTCATTCGTCAATGGAGAATGTGGCAATGCAAAACATAAATGTTGTAACCACGTTAAAAGTCCTCTGTTTTTGACCATGTCAGTGATAGCTTGTGGAATGGATGCTGATTGGAATAATATCTATTCACGGATATTTTATTGTTAATGAATCAAATTATATATAATAAGTTAATTTTCATTTAGACACATAAATCTCTTAAATTCTTACCTCAATGATAAGTTTACGACTAATATTGTCAGCAAGAGGTGAATTATAATAACTAGAAATAACATCCCATACATATCTCCTTCTAAAGATCTTATAATCCTAATGAACGGGAAAATGAATAAGTAACATTATAAACACTGAAATGAAATTAAATCAAAAAATTTACTTCATGAGTTTTTAATCCAGCGGACAAAAGTCTCAGAATCCATACTCTTTCTTTTTGATAATTCTTGGAAGACGTATGAAATAGACTATAAAACATCGGCACATCCTATATTTATTAAATTTTCATATAAGATAAATGGTCCAATTGATGTGAATCTAATTTTAGATGCATTTTTACCTCTAAATCCAATATTGGTCTTTGTAACAAAAACTTATTAATTATCGGATACATGAAATGAGCAGGATTTGTGAAAACGTTTAATGCATGTGCAATAAATACTGAGATAATTGTAGGAATTCGTTGAAGTGGCTTATTTTCATTATCACGATCCACAATTGAATTCTTCAATGAATTGAGTAACAACAATATCTGACTCTTCTCCCGAAAGGTAGCGTGCTGTAATGAAATAGGTAAACCATTTAATCTTTCGGCATGATGGAATATTAAATCATATTTCATATTCATTAAATCAAAAAGCTTGCCTCCAATAAACCATAAAATTCATCCATCAAATAATAGCCTGCTCTTCTCACACTTTCTACAGTAGATGATAATGAAACGACAATAAATCCTAACGCATTGATTTCAATGAATCTTCTGACATCCAATAAATTTCCATATGATAACAAATTTGAAAATAATGGTAAGAAATATGATGGATCGTATACTGGTAAATCCTTTTCCCACTTAACAGAATCTTCGATTAAACCACTTTTTAAGCAAGATGCAGTTTCTGTTAAACTCAAGGGCACTTCCAATTCTTTATCAATTGGGAAGTGGGTATAACTTTGCATCATTATAATGGGATCAATTAGATCTAATGATTCAACAAGAATTCTTTGCCCCATCAAGCTTCGTCTGTCAAATTGGCGGACTGCTCCAGGTCCCCACATCATGGCACTGGACACAATCGAAGTACTAGATGACTTCTCATACAAGATAAATATGTTAAGGAGCAATTGATCAGCAAGTGAAGTGGATGCGCCATAGCATGACAAGAAGACATTCAAATACGAAGGTTTACAACATGTTTTAGGATGGATTTGAAACACCGTATTCAATAGATTATTTATTGCTAGTCTATGTAGGAATGTTGGCGATTTGTTAGCCTTTTGTGATAACTCTGGTGCACCACATAATGCTTTAAATTGAGGATTATTGATGATGGCTTCAACAACTTTATCCAAAGAAGGTCCAAATACTGTCTATATTAATAATGAGTAAATTGTTATTATTGTTATTTTATATTTATGCAAGAGAAATTCTTATAATTACCTCTTTATTATATGCAGTAACAATTAGCGATGTTATACACCTTAAAATTGTTGGTTCGTCAATTTTTTTTTCCAAAAGAACAAAAATGAACTCTCCGATAATATTTGCATCCAGACTAGTTGACTTTGGAACAAATTTTATCAAATCATCTGGATATATATATTTATATATGCATAATATTATGATTTAATGTCATATTGCAATCAAACAAATGCTATATTAAATAAAATGTTATATTAAATCTTATTACCAATTTTGTTAAAAATGGCTTTCAATGCTTCATTGCTACAATTTTTGAAAATATCCTTTTCCATAAATAAAGTTGCTTGATGAAGACAACTAGAAATAAATGTTTTAAGATCCTGTTCATCATAATCATTAATATTATTTGCTAAGTGACGTTCAATTATACTCAAATAATCCAAACTGAATAAGTCGAAAGATCCCTTTTGAATAGAAAGTTTTAAAGTCTTCATTAAATCCATTGGTGGACTCAAACTCATCAATACACAAACAACACTGGCATAAATTGACGGTGATTTTTCTGTGTAAGACGTCGTTATACTGCGAAAAAACCGAAGTGCACATTTGTCTGATATCACTTTGATTGCATTCTTATTACTTTCGGTCACAACTGGCGACCAATCGATTTGCAAATGTGTTTTTGATGATACAATGTCAATAAATGTCGAAACAATAATTATAATGCCTTTTAGAGAAACTGATTCTAATAATCGTGGACTAAGCAAGATTAAATTAACAAATTCCAATCTAATCTCAGGACTGCAGATAATGAGACAAGATAATATCTTTGCTTTAAGAGTATTCATATTATCAAGAATGAATCGCACAACACTTGAATCAATAATTTTGACCAATAAAAAATGGGTTGGTTTTCCTATAAATTGAAAATTTTTTGCATTCTCATTATCTATTAAACCAGGAGGCATATAGGCTTCAATGAACTGCAATATTACTGTATCTAGCTTGAAAGTAGGTTGCTTTTTCCAAAGATACAGCAATTTTTTAAAACAATTATCTGTAATATGCGTTCGCGAATCAAGCCTCATAAAATTCTTGGACACAAGTGACAAGAATGTCGTGTAACGTCTGATAGAATTCTCATCTGATAAATATAAAGTATTAACAATGTTGACATTTAAAATACAATCCAAAAGTTGAGACAGCTCTATCTCAGTAAGATAATTCAAGATTGGTGGTGGGATATTATACATCAATTCAAGAAATTTGATCCTTGCCAAATCTAAATTGCCAGGATTTGAATCTAAAAATTATACAATATAATTTAAATAAATTTGTTATATTAGTTGAAAGTTCCTAACGTTTGAATAGTTACCTTCAATCATTTTTCGACTTTCGTCTTTATTATTACTCCATTTAATATTGCATGAATTAAATTGTTGAAAATGAGTTTCTAAATCCCCAATATAATTCTTATCACTCTTTCTATCCAAATTTTTCAAAGAACTACCAATTATTTTATTTAATTGTTTTACATAAACATCCAAATATGATGTTGTAATTTGTTTATTCAGCAAATTTTTAAATAGTTTGTGTAAAAACGAGGTGACTTCAACAGTAATGGGTTTCATATTCTGATATTGTTTCATAACAACCGCCAGAAGTGGACTGAACGGATATGAAAAAGGTATGTCTTTTGAGCCATAGTAAATATTGCAGAGTTTTTCTGCGAAATCTATGCTAATGTCTTTGGCAATTCGCAACTCATCAACATCCATTATATCAATCTGCCGTACATCCGAGTTAACATCATTGATAATTTGAGATAGTTCATCAATATAAGGAAATGGATCTTTGAAAAAGATTGAAATAGATTCCTCAAGTAATTGCAAGACCAAATCTGATTCAGACAGTTCTTGAGCAATTTTATTCACAGAAACTATGTGCGGTAAAGATTCCAACCAAATTGTAACCTCGCTAGGGTCATGCTGAAAAGCAAGTGATTTAGAAAGCAGGTGTATAAGCACTCGTCGAATACTGGAATATATTTGTGAGTGTGGTGTATGTGAATACAACTTCAACAGAATATCCAAACGATTATTTTCTACTCAACAAAAATATGTGAATAAAGTAAAACAAACTGACAAGTTATTAAAGTGTAATTTATTCAGTTATTTACCTGGTTTATTGGTCAAATTAAAATTAGAAATTAATAACAATTCCAATAGATGCAATTGCATTGTTGGTCGAATTTCTTCAAGATTTGAAGGAATAAATTTGCCTATGTCAAATTTAGATTCCATAACTGCTTCTGGTAAAAATTTGTGATAATATTTTATCAATTTCAGAATCACTTCATGTATCATGCTATTTCTTGTATATTCTTCAGCTACTTCATCAGACATTATGTCAGATGACGACTTTTGTTCATATGCAACATTTTGGTGATAAATTCTAAGGAGAACCTGAATGTCAGGTACTCTGCGTTTTATCTCCTCAAATATGGAATCAATTGTTTGATGCCATCTAACAGATGGATTTTTTTCACTAGGTGATCCACTCAATGATGCATCCAAGCAACGAACTGCTTCATCAAAAGCTTGCTTAACCTTGTCCAGCTTTTGAAACATTGCACACAATGTTATGATCGTCTTGTACTTAACTAATGGGTTTTGATGATTAAGGCATTTGTTTAAGGTCGACCGATCAAAAATTCGGGGAAGTATATTATCCATTACCGAAGTAACCTCAGGCGGTATTTCAGAGTAAACATTTGTACCTGAAATATAAAGCAATGGAACAGGTAGTGATATTATCTTATGAAGAAGTGTCATATTTGCAATCCATCTATAAGAGAGATGAGGATCAAAAGAAATATTTTTATCTTGCCAAATTCTATAATATTGGAAGTAATAATTAGTCTAACTATGTCTAGCTTTTCAAAAAAGAATAATGGTCGCAGCTGATGCTGAAATTTGGAGTCTCGATTTGAAAATATGAGCCCTGCTAAAATCCACATATTATAAATTCTAGTTCAAAATCCTAATCTAACCCTGAAAAAAAGGGCAGAAAAAAACACCCCAAAAAAATTTTAAAATTTCATATCAAAATAGGTCCAAATTTCAGCATCAGCCAATTTCAGCATCAGCCGTGACAATAATTATTGTCAATTAAACTTACATATGAATTAACTCTGGGCATGCTTCCAAAATTTTCAACAACAATTCTTGCTGCCTTAAATCTTGAGTTGGCTTCAAAGACTTGATAAAGGAAGACAATATAATATTATGCAATTTAACTTTGTCACCATCTTTGGATTTGCCAGTGCCATTTATAGAATTCTGTGAACTGAATGAATACCATCCTGCATCACAGAAGCAGATGCCTACTCCTGGCACACAGCAAATTGATAACAGAAATTTGTGAACAACGTCTGCGACGACCTTGTCAGATTCTGGTGGTTCAAAATCGCTTCTAGAATAAAGCCGCAAAAACTAACATTTTTTTTGATCATTATTATTTGATAAATTATGCTAAAATAATCTATATGTTACGTTTGATACTGTCTATTTACATGATTTAACACCCCAGTATTGAAAAAAGATGCTTTTGTTTTTCGACTGATTTGATTGTCAACTATGACGAAATCATGGAATGTTTTCAACACCTCATCCACAAGCTAGTAATAAATAATGAAAACTTTATAATGATCATTATAAAACTATCTTTGATTAAAAGTTTTTTTTACCTCATACGGATCGCCAGATAACCCTTTGAATATTGCATTTGCAAAATTTTTTGTTTCCAAAACGCAAGATCTCACTTTAGAATCTCCATGTGTTAAGAATGTCAAAATAAAACGAATATATAGAGTACGAATATCTATATAAAAAGGGAATCCATGACTTAGTATAAAATTAATGCAATCTAACAATGAAGAAATAAAGTGCCTACCATCTTTTGGACGTGATTTTTGGTCATTTGAATCGTTTTTTCTTATGTTCAATAATCTACCGAGCGTCTAAATTTCGTAAAAAAATTATTTACATATAACTTTACTGAAAGCTTTTCCAAAATGAAAATACCTTGAGACCATAAGGAAAAGATTCCTGCAATTCTCTTGTTGTTGTGATATCATGAGAATTTATCACTATCAATAATCTCAAAGTCGCTTGACACAAAGGGTATTGATCAGATGATAAATTTCGAATAATTGGTTTCATATAATTTCTTAAAATATTACGAATTATTATCGTCCCAGTGGATCTTAATGAATGTGTATTTGTAGTATATTGAATAATTTTGGCAAACGCATCTAGTATAGGGACCTCAGGTTTTGCGATATTTTTCTGTAAAAGAAGTATATTATTAGATAATTTTTTCGTGATATTAAAATAAGATTATAATTAGATAATGACTTCTATCTGCAAGTCCCAGGCTCGAAATAATTCTCGACATTCCGATGAGTTTTGCAGATACTCATGGATCTGTGTTGGTGACTGGAATTTGGAGCCCCATTGGTCACCCATATTTTTTCCAAAATTCTATTGTCACGTGACGATAGAAAAAAATTTCTTTAAAATTTGTTGGGGTTAGCGTTTGTATTAAGGCTAGACGTTAGGTACTTTAATAGTAAAATTACCCAAAGAGAAAACTTTGTGTTTTTTGTTAGAGCATGAAATTCGGTTTCTTATGAAACATTTCCTGATCGTGTTACGTTACACCCGATCTCGAGATTTTTGATCGATTGAAAAAATTTTTAACCAACCAGATTATCTAAATAAAATTTGGGGCTTTTGCCTTGAAAATCGTTTCCGATCGGGTTAAAATCATCCTTTATCAATAGTTTATCGTTATCGAATAAAGATGATTAAACATATACCCGGGTTTATTTCTGTCCGAATTAACCCGATCGGGAATGTCAGAGGGTGATATTAAAAACATGTGAAACTGCAGACTGTGAAACTAATTGGCAGCATATCGATATGATGATTTTCCAGCATTCAACCCTATCATACAAGCCAAGAATATTGACGTTAACCAACTGATCAACTTTGAACGGCCTTAATTTCATTTTCAACCACTTTATTTAAAATATTTGCTATTTATTCGCGCTGAATTAATTTAGTTTAAGATACGCAAATCGAGTTCATGAATGTTTACTATTTTGTTTCTCTATTCGTGTTGATTTATTGCATTAATTAAAGATTCCATTTTAACGAAGACAGCATGAATAAAGCATGGCGAGAAATGAAAAGTATTGAGGTAGCAAAAGTTTTTGGGAAGTAATTGCAATCGGAGAACTGAGTTATTATGACCACTAGCATGTTATTTCGAATACATTATTTCGAGATGAAAAATCCAATTTCTGAGGCTATCGCTATTTACTACTATATTCAATAATGTTTGTGATGCGCGTTATTTCGGAACGCCCACAGGAACAAATATGCCATTTTAGGGGTTCAATTTTCAAAATAACGCCCATGCCCGTTATTTCGGACTTTTACGGTATATGTATAATATAATGATCAAAAAAAAAAAGACTATACAAACCATTAAAACTCCTGTTTTCCGAGTTGAAATTCTTCAAGCTAAAATTCTTCAAGTGAAAAGAAAAGGTTTTTTATTTTGGTCCAAAATTTTATTTATTTTAGTCTTTTGATTATGGTTCATGTTTATTCTGATAATTTAGAAGTACTGGTTAACTGGTTTTAAATTTAGTAGAATTTTAGGTAGCCTTGGCGCTTTCTGTGTAACTGATCGATGTAATTAAACTGACGTAAAAAACTGACGTAAAAAAACTGACGTAAAAAAAACTTGTTCATCCCCTAAATGACCCTAAATGTCGCAAGAAAATCAGTCTCCTAATCCAAGAGAATCTACAACCGTCAGGCAAAATGAACCTGGCTTTCCATTTCATGAACAGAGTGGAGACCAACCACTTCTTACGCCCTCAGCACGGGTTTCGATTCCCGAAACACCAGGTGCCAGTCATCGTCCACATCGATCTCGTCCAACTTCCTCTAATGCTAGTGCAAGCTCACCTCCAAAGTTAAACAGGCGTAAATCTTCATTTATACCTTCTGAAGAATCCGACGATTCTGACGAGTATTCCGATGATTCTAAGAATTCTAAAAAACGGGCCAAGAGAAAGGGCTTAAAAAAAAGGACATCGTCGTATAGAAGGAGATCGGAGGATATCATAGACAATAATAACGAAGAGGATAATGGTAACGACGATGGAAACAATGATCAAAATGATTCTGAGAGTGATCGTGAATTTACGATCAAGGACAGACAAGAGGTAAGAAATTTAGATTATTTACTAATATCTTGGATTATAAATTAGTTATGAACATTAAATATTAAATAATATATTCATCGCAATTCTAAAATACGTAATATATGCTAGGTAATCAATACTATGCATCCATTCGGTATGCCAATATGGAAATCCGCCTTATATAAAAAATCTCGGTCCGTAATCCGAGATGCTAATTCCGTTTTACATTCGACACCAACAACGGAATTATATCTGTATCCCGGAAATATACTATGGGCCATAGTGTTTGGATGGGAGTTAGCGCTTGCTTCATTTATAGTTTCATTGTTTTTGTCTATAACACCATGTGGTGGCGAGAGATATGCACTTGTTTTAAGAGAATTAAGTTACTACATATTTTGGCCTTTCGGTAAATACGTTGAAAAAATTGACGAATGGTCTGAAGAAGATGATGAGCACAGCGTTAGTATGAATCACCATGGTAGTGATTCAGTAATAGCTAATGGTAATGGAATAGATATTGAAAGTAATAACCCATTGTTGGGACGTAGGACAAGTTCCGGATATATTCGACGGCTTGAACGCGAGAAACAAAATTGTTGTGGAATTGGGCCAGCGGAATTCGTTTTTTATTTTTGTTACTTTTTAATTATTGGTGGGTATAATACTGGATACGTAATTATTAACGAATAGCTTTTTTTTTTTTTTATTAATAACGAATAATTTTGTGTACAAGTTATAATTCATTTTGATCATTTTTAATTATAGCACCTCTATTCTTTATTGTTTCCGCCTTATGCTGGTTCTCCGTTATTGCCATTCCAATGGCAAAGCTCACTTATGTAGTTTCAAGACACTTACGAAAGCACCCACTTTCCATACATTTTAAATCTGGGTCATCTGTGTCTTCATCATCCAACCGATCCTCGATTTTATTGTGTACATATAAGGCAATTGGCCTGTATTATAAGTATACATATGATGGTGTTAACATTATATTTATTAATATCTTGCCCATTGTTATATTTGCAATAATCGATAATTATATAATTAGTGAAATTGTATCTGATCCAGAGAACCATATCGTAACCTCAAAAGGTTTTATCTTCGCAATTTCTCTCGTTTCTG